GAGGTCTCCAACGCCGCAGCCGCCACCTCCAAGGAGGTCTCCAACGCCACTGCCACCACCTCCAAGGAGGTCTCCAATGCCTCCCCCGCCCCCGCCTACCAAGAAGCCAAGTGCTAGCAAGAGGCCAGCCCCGCAAACGAAGAACCAGTCCCCGCCGGCAAAGAAAGCCACCGTGAAACCAAGGGCTATTCCCAAAATAATATCTGAAGAGAAGGAAGAAGGAACTGATGCATATAAAAAAGATTTGTCTAGATTCTATGACAAACTTAAAAAGAATCAAGAAGCAAGGAGAAACCCGGAGAAACCGTACTTCTTCGTAGCTCCAGATATTCTAAGAAAAAAGGTGGCTTCTTACCAGCAACAACAGCGGGAATCTCGTAAGCCGTCCAAATCAATGTTAACGGACTATGACCGCACTCTCACCAAGTCAATTGAGGCGGCACAGATAAAGAAGCGGGCAGGGAAAGGAGTTGCCCAACTCGGACAACAATCGCACCCATTAGTCCCCCCGCTAGTTGTTGGTAATGAATATGGTTCGAATTTAGGATTAATGCATCAGGCAAACATACCTCCGGATGTCGATTTGGATCACTTTGGTGAATTTATTGATGAGACTGGTCTTGACCTTTACTAGATGTTTGGTGATGGAAACATTGAGAGTGCGGCGGAGGTTGATATTTGGAAGAAAAAATTTATACTAGGCCAGAGTCTATACAACCCTCAAGCCGTATCTGATCTGGGGACGCAAATGTACCTGCTAAACAAGTGGTATATGCAGGCGTCTACCGGTGGAGACTGCTGCGTTGGTGTCAGAATTAGAGACGAACATTGGTTCTGTGGCGATGATGTTATGTATGTTGACTTTGCAGAATTTCATCAACTATGCCACCTGACCTCTCTGGACAAAGTTATCATTAGCTGCTATTACCTGTAAGTAATAATTCTTTCGATCTATTATTAAACTCATCATATGTGTGTATATGCATATAAATTATCATAACAAGTACTATATATATGTAGATTTACAATGACAGAGCTCAGAAAGGTAGGCTGCAATGAAATTGGTTTTGTTGATTCCCATATAGTATTCAAAGACCCAGTTATTCCAAAGACTAATTAGAAGTCTGAGTCAGAGAGTAACCTCATGAACTTCTTAGTGAACCAACGCCACAAGAAGGATATACTCTTTCCCTACAACCTTAAGTGAGTGTTAATAATGTCGATCATCCTTAATGGCTCATATGTTGATTCTAGTTAATTAATGAGTGTTATGCGTTATATCCTATAAACACATGCAGCAATCACTGGATATTGATGGACATCGATCTGGTGAAAAGTCACTTGATAATCTATGACTCGATGAGAAAACCACAACAAGACTATCAAGATATGATAGATATTATCCAGAGGTAATTTCGGTATCTCTAGCAACTATATATACACACAAACATGATGATTAAATATATCTGATGACGTGGCAAATTTTTTATTGGGCAGTGTTTGGAAAACCTTTATTGAGAAGCAACACATGGGAAAATGTAAAGCGCCACTAAATGTAATCCCTTTGAAAGTAAGTCCCCTAAATCGCATCATCTTTATTAATTAAACATATAGCTTTCACCGGATCACTAGATTGGATGATAAATCTTTTTCTCGTAAAGTGGTGTCTAAGGCAGGACCAGGGGAACAACTACTGTGGTTACTATGTTTGCAAGTTTATCAAGGTGGTCTCCCAAAGAACTCCTACAGAGAGACTCAAAGTATGTTAAAAATACACTATATATTCATTTAATTATTATTATTGATTGTGTTACTATGTCTTTATATATATATATATATGTATATATATTAATTTATTTTCCTTTAATTCAAACCTGTAGGCTCAATGGTTGGAGGAAAAGGTCATGCGGCAAGACCAAATCAAAGCAATTCAAGAGTCTATAGCCGGATTTTTTAATGAGCAGGTCGTCGATTCCAAGGCCAAGTTCTACTTCGACCCAACACTGCCATGGAAGCCAAGCTAGAGGATGAGAGACAACTTGTTATATATCACAACAACTGTAATGCAATCTTTTGTAATATATGCACATAAAATAATATAATGTAAAATACACATATGCATGCATGCATGTAAATATATATATATATATATATATATATATATATATGCTTGAATTGTGTGATTTAATACGTTCATTGTGCTTGAACTGAAACATACTATACGCGTGTATAAATGTATAATTAGCAGCGTACAATACGACTACGAAAACCTATTTTGAAAAGAAAACAAAAAAATGAAAAGAAAAGAAAAAAGAAAAAAACCTTTAGACCCGGTTCGTATTACCAATCGGGACTAAAGGTGCCGGCCATCATGGCATGTCAGGAGGCACCTTTAGTCCCGGTTGGTGTTACCCACCGGGACTAAAGGTCCTCCTTTAGTCCTGGTTCCTGACCCAGAACTAAAGGACCCCCCTTTAGTCCCGGATGCTTGCTCCCGGGTGGGGAACCGGGACTAGAGGGGGTTCCCCACCGGAAGTAAAGCTCTGTTCTCTACCAGTGAGACGTTCCAATGTGTTTGCTAAGGTTTCTATATACTTACAACTCATCCTTAAAATTGCATGAGTCTCTAAGCAAACCATGTAATAATATATATTTTCTCTTAATTATTTTTACTTGGATCCCGCATGGGCTGATCTTGTTTCCAGCACACTCCCAAAGCCAAGGTCATCCCTCCTTTGTTCGGTGTCCATGCATTTTAGCAATTAAGTTAAGGGCATATGAAGCTTGTGAGGGGTCCCGAGGATGTCAAATGTGGATAATGTTGCATTTGACAAAACATTAATATTGCACTATCTCATGTCATGTTGTGTCTGATGGCGGTATCTATAGAAAATACAAAGGGGTAGAAATGGAATTACATGTCTCTCCGCACCAACTACTATATTCTAGCCATATTCATGGAATTCCACCAACATAGGGGCAATGTGGTTATATTTTTGTGGTCACCTTCTTATGGTCTCTATCATCACTGCAGGATGTTGGGCCTCACTTATGTATTTCTCTAACCCCTTTGTGTTGGCTTAGCCTCATGGTCCGGGCCTTGGTTCAACCTTTGCCCCACTTACTTCTCATATGGCTTGTCCAAGGGTACCTTTGGATTTCGTGAGCTGGTTTCCTTCATAAAAACATCAAGTTCCATGCAAAATAGAATGCATCATGCTTCCTCGGCCAACCACGATATTTACCTTTGAGGAGTGGGTGTTGGTGGGGGTGGGGGTGTGGGGGGAGCTTTGTAAGGGTGTCCCCACAATCTAGAACATATGATAGTTTTTTTGCAACTAAAAAAACGATTAAGATGAGGCAGTTAACAAAAGTTAAGAGACATGTTATAAACAAAGTTAAGAGACAAGATGGTACTCCCTTTGTTCTAAATTATATGACGTTTTGACTTTTCTAGTACATAGTTTTTGTTATGCACTTATGCCAGTCTTAATGGAGGTTTCACGTGACTTTCATAGATATTAAATAAGCTAACATGTTATAGTTTAGATAAAGAGAGATAATAAAAGTTTCTTAGGATGAATCTTGTATACACTGTGTCCAATCTACTGTGACTAGCATTAGATACTCCATCCGTCCATGAATATATCAATTTCTAATGTTGTTGAAGTCAAGTATTTTCAAGTTTGTCCAAATTTATAAAAAAGAGCGAAAAAATTATGACACTAGGTTAGTATCATTAGATACACCATAAGCTATACATTTACATAATATGCTAATTTGGTATCATAAATATTTGTACCTTTTTTCTATAAATTCAGTCAAACATAAAAAAGTAGGACTTAGAATAGCTGTAGGAATTGATTTATTCAGAGACGGAGGGAATATATATTTTGTCTAGATACATAGTAAAAATAATATATCGTCAAAAATTTCGAAATATCGCCTTTTTAACTGAGGTCCGAAAAAGTTTTATATCGGTCAAAAATTTTCGGTTAAATTCATCGTCCGCTTCAAAATTACACGAAACTATACTAAAATGACCCTCCATGTTTTCTAGTCTTACCAAAGCCCTAAATTTCTTCAAATTTATTTAATTTCCTCACTCACACATTCGATGGCACTAGCATATGCAGCTGGTCCACCGTCGTCCCGCGGTGATATATTGTGTTATTTTGTCGATGTTATATAAATTTGTGATGGCTGATGGATTAAAGAGATTTCTAGTCAAATGATGCCAATTTTTTTTTAAATCAATTTGAATTTATTTAAATTTGACCTGATATTACCAAAATTTCTGAAATTTCATATTTATCGGTGGGACCAATTTTTTTTTCTTACCGGTATTGTTAACCTTGGAAGCAATGCAAGACAAGACAGTCGTGTACTCGTGTTACAGCCTACAGCAAGCAACTCTTTTTTTTTCTCTCCGATTCGCGGATGGACAGGGCTTCGATCCTGACACGATCGAGTAGGTGAAGCATCCAGGAGCTCGAGTCACGAGCTCAGCGGGTCGGCAGCAACCCGAAGGCGGCGATGGCGCAGCCGCCGCCGGCAGCCTCAACGGAGACGAAGAGAGGTCATCGTACCAGCGGCGGTTACCTCGCGCGCGCTGGTACAGTACAGGCACAGCAGCGGAACCGAGCGGCAGCTGCTGTAACAGCAGCATCGGGGAGCCTCCGGCGGCCGCGGGCGACGCGGAGGTGAAGGTGTCCATCATCGAGAGCGACGCGCTGCTGGAGCTCCGGTGCCCGCACAGGGAGGGGCTCCTCCTCCGGGTCATGCAGGCGCTGCACCCGGACCTCCGGCTGCTGGAGGTCACCTCCGTCCAGACTTCCTCAGCTGGCGACGTGCTACTTGCAGAGTTGCGTGCTAAGGTTAGCATGGAAGTACCATTGAAATTGCAGTTTGTGCGACCCTTCCTTTTTTTTCTTCTGGGTGACGGATTTGATTGCAGTGTGCTTCTGAATCCTGAAGTGTTCTTGGATTGTCTGGTGCAGGTGAAGGAGGTGCATGGCAGGAGGAGCAGCATCACTGAAGTGAAGAGAGCAATTCATCTAATCGTTTCATCAGACTGAAAATGTGAGGAGAATCCGATGTGTAGCATAGTAATTAGTAAATATACTGCAGCCTCGGTCTATACATATAGAGACAACGTATGGGCAGGGCCCAATTCACACACATACATATTACGTATAGCCCAACATTTTGCTAAAAAAACATATAGCCCAACACTCGCCATCAAGATGGATGATAGATATATATCGTTACCCATCTTGCTACATGCCATATTACACTATTTTACTGCTAAATGCTTAGTAAAACAATGTGCTATTTGACAACTTGAGTTAACGCGACTATAGTGAATCATTTGTCTTCTTTTTAATAAAGGAGCGATCCATCTCCACATATTATGTTGATAGCCGATTTGTTATAACACAAAAGTTTAAATGGTACTTTTCATAGCATATTTAACTCTGACAGAAGTCTCCTAACCCAAAACATGACGCTTACTGTAAATGACATTACTCTATACTCTACTTCAACTGTCAAATGAGATACAATTGATTGCCTTTTGATCCTCCAAGATATCAAGTCTCCTCCAAGATATCAAGTTCCCTCCAACAAAAACACAATATCGTGTACTCGTTGATCTTACATAGTCAAGATGGCTTACCAATCAGCATCACAATAACCTTCTACGTTTAGATATGATCATGGTTCTTGAACATGAATCCCTTTCTAGGGCTACTCCATATATATCATAGTATCCGAAACAACATTGAAATGTTCACTTCCTGGATAGTGCATATACCGACTCACAACACTCACTGCATGTGAAATGCCATGTCTTGTATGGCATATACACTACTACAAAAATGATTTTTAGCAACGGTTTTTTTTTGTAGGGACGGCTCCAGTACCAACCGCCCCTACAGTGGGTGAGCTCAGGTCCCATGATTCCAGCCGCCCCCAACAAATCTAACAGTAGGGGCGGTTGGTGATACGTGCCACCCCTACAAATGGGGTAGATTTATAGGGACGACTCACTCACTAGCCGCCCCCTACTATTCGATTTGTAGGGACGGCTCAATCACCGGCTGCCCCTACAAATGTACGTTGTATAAATGGCTACAGCCCCCCCCTCTTCCTCGGGTCACTCACTCCAACCCGTGAAAAAAAGGTAGGGAGGTCTTGAACACCTCCCAAAAATTGCTCTACTAAGGGGAAGGTTTTAATCTCAAATCTTTTGGTGGAGAGGTTGTAGAAAGTAAGAAAATGCTATTCCACACTTTTTTTGAAGTTTTAATGGTTGGTTAGTGCGTAATTAGAGTTTTGATTTTCTCTCTATTCTATGGTGCTTGAGCTACTTATGAAGCAAATTAGACCTAAGTTTTGAATGTACTAGGGTAAATTAGGTAGGAGAAAAAGAACATACCCTTATTTGGTCCATGTTTCTTGATTTTAGTGAACAATTAGTTAGTTTTATGGATGTTTCATGTGCATGTAGATCTAGATCTAGGGTTTGGTTTTTTTATTAATTTTGTTTTTATAAATTTATGTTTGATAAAATTGGACTAGGGTTTGCATGAAAGATATTGGGTAAAATATAATTGTTGCTAATTGTTGTCTTTGAAATTGTTTATTGTAATCAACAAATATGTATTTTAATTATTTATGGATAAATGAGCATTAATTAATTTTCCTCTACCATGGTATGTTTGTATGCTTCATGTAATTATATTTGATTTATATTCATATATATCTGAAGTATATACAATTATTCTCAAGTAATTATTAATTTGATTCATTTTTATATATATCTGAATAAGTAGTCCTTTAATGTTTGTTTTGTTGTTGTTGTAAAAGATGGAGTACAAGAACTCTTGGATGTATGGTTCGTTAAGGTTCAAAGCAGGTTTCCATGAAGAGGTGGATAAATTTATTAAAGTCGTAGAGAAGTATGCAACGACGTTGATAGAGAATAAGGATGTCCCTGTAAAGATTACAAGAACCGTATGGCATGGACAGATGTGAGTATCATCAGATCATATTTGATTATGCGAGGATTTGTTGAGGACTACACAGTGTGGATTCATCATGGTGAAACGGTTATTGTTAACGACGAGGATGAGGAGGAATACGACGACGAAACCCTAGAATCCATGTCCCAATATTCAGCAGAGCTTGATGCACGAATGGATCCTGAGTTTGGCAATGAACAAGTTAGTGATGCAGGTGGTTGGGATGGCAATGATGAAGGTGGTGCCAATAATGATGGTGGAGCACGTGTCGGGGATGAAGATGATTTGGAGGACATGATTCGAGCCCTTGGTCTAGAGATTTTACTAAAGAGCCCGAAAGGTCTAGAAAATTTGGAAAGGGTGAAAAAAGCATCGAAGGAGACTGTGTATGGTGTTGAAAAGGACTATCCGACACATTGGACATTGCTACGTTTTGTGCTTAACCTACTCATCTTGAAGGCTAAGTACGGCTGGTCAGACTGTAGTTTAAATAATCTATTGCGTCTCCTATCATGGGTGCTGCCACAACCAAACTCAGTTCCCGCCAACACATACCAAGCGAAGAAGGTCATAAGTCTATTGACAATGGGGGTTGAAAAAATCCATGCATGCCCCAACTACTGTATCCTTTTTCGTGGTGAAACGTTCAAGTCACTGGATAAATGTCCTCGGTGTGGGGCCAGCCGATACAAGAACAATGACCTTTACGGTGGGGACGAAGCCTCCACGGGGAAAAAGAGCAATAAGAACGGTACAAAAAAGATGGTACAAGAATCTCAACCCCCAGAGGACACTCCATTAGGCAACGATGCAAAGCAGAGAAGAATTCTAGCCTTGGTAATGTGGTACATGCCAGTGACCGACCGCTTGAGACATATCTTCCTAAACCCTAAAGAAGCCACACTCATGACATGGTGGGATGATGAGCGCAAGGTGGATGATGATAAGATTGCACACCCGGCTGATGGTAGTCAGTGGCAAAGGATCGATGAGAAGCACAAAGAATTCAGCGATGACTCAAGGAATATACGGTTTGGCTTGAGCATCGATGGAATGAATCCCTTCAATGACAGGATGAGTGACCACATCACTTGGCCAGTGATCTTGACCATGTAAAATATCCCAACGTGGTTGTGTCAGAAGAGAAAGTACTTTCTCCTCACTATTCTTATTTCTGGCCCTTAAGAACTAGGCATTGATCTAGACATGTTCCTCGAGCCTCTGATGCAAGAAATAGAGAGGCTATGGAGGCATGGGGAGCCGATGTTCGATGCGTTCCGAAAGGAGGACTTCATATGTAGAGCAATAATATTTGTTACTACCAATGATTACCCCACGTTGTTTGCTTTGTCTGGACAAATCAAAGGGAAGACGGGATGCTTGGTTTGCTTGGATGGTACTACATGGGTGTTCCTAGATGCATCCAAGAAGATAGTTTACCTCTTGTCGAAGGCGTACCTTTCAAGAAACAATCGATCTTCTTTTAGTATCTGCCTTATTGGCCAGACTAGGAGGTCCCCCATGCCATTGATGCTATGCACGTGTAGAAGAATGTCTTTGAGAGTCCCATTGCGACCTTGATGGACACAGGCAAGTCAAAGGATGGTTTGAAATCCCGGAAAGACATGGTGCAGCTAAACGTGATGCAACAGCTTCACCCAATACCTGAGGCTAATGGAAAATACACTCTGTCCACGGCGTGCATCAACCTTACACCAGAAGAGAAGAGAGTTATATGCACTTTCCTAAGGGGGGTCAAAGTCCCGACTAGGTTTTCAGCGAATGTGAAGAAGCTAGTGTCGATGAAGGACTTGTCAATAACACACTGCAAGGCTCACGATTGTCATGTGATGCTAACAGTGTTTCTACCTATTGCAATCAGGGCTATAAAGCTAGATTTCTTAAAAATGGCCATCACCCGCATGTGCTACTTCTTTTCGAAGATCTCACCGAAGACGATTGGCAAGCAAGAGTTGAGTGACCTACATGAATTTGTGGTGGAGACACAAAACCAACTAGAGATGTATTTACCTCCTGCTTTTTTTATATAATGCCACATCTCATGATTCACATGGTTCATCAGATACAGGCGTTGGGCCCTTGCTACTTGCATGAAATGTGGTCCTACGAGCGGTTCATGTCGGTTCTAAGTCGATACATGCATAATTGAGCATACCCAGAGGGCTCCATGATAGAGGGTTACAGTACTAAAGAAGTCGTCGAGTGCTGTCAAGAGTACCTAAAAGTATAGAAAGGGATTGGTAAACCCCATTCTTGTCAGAAGGGTGGGCTAGCTAGGAAAGGCACCAGTGGTAGAAAAGTGTTCATCGACCATGATTACAAAGAGGTGAGTCAGGTGCATTATAGTGTCTTGCAGAGTACACAACTGATGCAATTGTACATTGATGAACACTTGGCTATCATTATGGTGGAGAGAAATGGTCGTTCAGATGATTGGGCCATGAAACAACATAAGCAACGACTAACTACATGGTTGAAGGACAAAAACATATCGCCTAGAGAAACCATAGACTCTATTACCATCAGTAGGTTGGCGGAGGGGCCATCGAGATAAGTGACATCTTGGAAAGCTTATGACATCAATGGGTATACGTACTATACCCACAAAAAGGATAGTAAATGTGTGAACCAAAACAGCGGCGTTCGAATAGAAACTCTAGATGGAGTGGGGCGAAAGATCCAATACTTTGGCATCATTGAAGAGATATGGGAACTTGACTATGGAATGGATATAACGGTGGCCCTATTTCGATGCCGCTGGATCAAACAACACCAACTGAACGAGATCGGATTGAGAGTCCTGGACCTCGAGAATCTAGGCTACCAAGATGACCCTTGGGTTCTCGCTTCACGTGTCGCACAAGTTTTCTATATCCTGACCCACAAAGTAACCTCCCCCCGAAGAAGAAGACAAAGCATGTGGTTGCCTCTGGGAAACAGCACATTATCAGAGTTGATGGCATGGACGATGTTGAAGCTTACAATAACTACGATGAGATGCCGCTATTCACAGACTTTCCTAAGAAGATCAG